TGTATGTGTTTGTGCTTTGCAATAAATAAGAAAAAATGAGCGAATGCGACATGATTAATTCAGAAAATGCATAATCACTTCATTAATATTACCATTCAAAACAACAATGTTTAAAAACAAGTAGCAATTGACAAGAAAGAAACTACAAATGCAAATGATAAAAGCGCCCAAGGACTGCCAATGTTGAGGATATCTTCCTGTCTGGATCACTGTCTTTTGGAGATGACCCTTGGAATCTTCGAGCTTAAACAGCTAAGAGGTTGACATGAACAACCAAACCTCCTTCTGGAAAGGAAATGTACCCTTTGTCAATCAACTGTTGCACTTTGGCTTGGAAGGCTTCGCAATCTTCGGTTGACTGCCCCATGGATCCTCCATGATATCCACACTACACATGGGGATTGTACACAAGAGGGTAAGGTTCTGGCACAGGCTTAAGAGTCTTGGGCTCCACCAATGAGTTTTGAATCAGATGTGGCAGAAGTTGACTGTACAACACGGGGACTGGATGAAGGGGATCAATCCCTCTTTCCAAGTTGTTGCGAGGCCTATTCTGATTCTGGTGCTGATTTTGATAACCTCGGCCATGGGCTCGTTGATTTTCATGAGGAACGACCCAAGGTTTCTGATGTAGTGTCCTAGGCATAACCGTCTGTCCATAAGGATAACGTGACTCTAGAGATAAAGACTGGTGTAAAAATGAAGAGCCAAAATATTTCACCGGTTCACCCTGAGAATACTCAACATCTGCCATGACTACATTGATTATAATTTCTTCTTCCTCTTGGGAGTTACTGAGGAATTTAGTTTCACTAGCCTGACTGCTCGAGACATCCTGAATTTTTCCATTTTTTATGCCACTTTCAATGCATTCTCCTGCTATTATGAGGTCAGAGAAGTTTGGTGTAATTCCAAGCATTCTTTCAAAGTATGGGCTCTGCAATGAGTCTACAAACATGTCTGCTAACTCTTAGTCTAGAAGCGGTGGTTGCACTCTGAAAGCCAATTATCTCCACCTCTGAGCATACCTTCTGAAGGATTCATTGTTCTCTTAAGACAAGCTTTTCAACTGCATGCGACTGGGAGCCATGTCAAGATTATATTCGTACTGCTTCAGAAAAGCCTTAGTTAGGTCTATCCATGATTGGATCTGACCATTCTCTAACTGCATGTACCAACTCCAAGATGCCCCACTCAAACTGTCTTGGAAATAGTGAATCATACACTTATCATTATGCACAAATAAGGTCATTCTTCTACAAAACATCACCAAATGTTGCCTCGGGCAGTTATCTCCCTTGTATTTCTCAAACCTCGATGTTTTGAAATTTGGAGGTAATATTAGGTCGGATACCAGGCACATATCCGAAGCGTTGAGACTAAAAGTATCTTGAACTTCCAAGGCTTTGAGTTTTTCATCCAACACATGAAATCTTTTAGCATACTCAAGAGCTTTTGGGTCCTTAGTCTTCATCATCAGGACCCCCCTTTTGGAATTCGACACAAAGAAAGCAATATCATGACAATCTGTAGTACAAGGAGAAGAGGAACGTCCATTTTGGACAACAAATAGTTCATGCAAGTCTTGATTCTCAATAGAGAGCTGCACAGACTAAGCTGGTGTAAGGTTATTCACTTGTGGAAGATCTTCATCAAGCAAAGAATCGTATAGAGGGTTAATCGTCACAGTAAAACCCGGTAGGGTATCAACATTCTGGAGGTTGTTTCCTGACATAGCTACCAATAGCTCCCAACTTGATCTTACTTCTTGATACTGCTTGATCCTGCTTCAAACACTTTGTCATCTTCCAACAGTCACCACTAGTTCAGAATGAGTACCGGGGAATCAACTAGCTGATTAAAGATAAAGGTGGAATGAGAGTTCTGGCCGGATGAAGAATGATATGCAAAATGATACAAAGATTTTTATGCTATGCAATGCAAAAGACATGGGACCAAAGGCTCCACAAATTCTGAATAACTGTTGCGCCGTTGGCTGAATAAATCTATAAGTCTGCTCTGAAGAAAATACCGAAATACCAGAATACCAAAGCATTGAGATGATAGAAAAACCCAAAATACCCAAGATCAAAAGTCTGCACTGACGAGAAAACCAGAAAACCGGGTTGGTTGAAGGTCAAAGTTTCCTGCAAAACCCTTCCCACTACAGGTAGGACCTAGTCTCTGCAAAGGTATGACATCCTATGCAGATTGTTAGTATCACGGACTCTCAGGTCGAGAAACGATGATACGTTCACCATTTCTAGTTTGGCATCATGGTCAATCAAGGAGGTCTCAACTGACTTCCCAATGAACGGTCTCCAGAGTCATTAGCTTTCAGATTCAACGCCCCCTCACCTTTCCAAAACGCACAGGATAGGATGTCTTCAAAGAAAACCTCGTCTGAACGCAAATTTCATGAGGGCTCTTGCATGCCAAACATGCAATCCCGCACTACTCTCCACACTAATACTAGGTGTGTACTCAAGCCTGGGTATTGGGCTTATCTCTTAATGGAATACCCTATCCAATAGCACAACAACAGTATGATAATAATGATAAAGTGTGGAAATAAAATGTAAATGCAATAATATAAAAAAAATACCACATATATACACACAAATATACACACCCAAAAATATAAAGCAAACAAGCGTAAGGATTGACTCACATAGGGAAACAGTTGTCCCCAGCAGAGTCGCCAGCTGTCGCAACTGCGAAAAAGGGTCAGCGGAAAACAAACAGAAGAGTCGCCACCGAACTTTATTTATCCCAAAGACAGGGAAAGGAAACGATCAAAGAAAACATAAAAGAATGGGAGAAGACAAGGTCATCGCAACAAAATCTTGGGTTCGGAAGTCGGTTACGCAAGGGGAAGGTATTAACACCCCTTACGTCCGTTGTACTCAACGAGATCCACTCTTGTTGTCTAATCTATGGATGAAAGTTATCTAAAAGCTATTGTTAAATAGGGGTGAAGAGAAAGAACAGACTCGATAGGAAATCGACGCCCTATGCCTACGTATTCCCTCGTGCAATGGGAAAGTCAGAGTCAACGTAGTTTGGGAAACCACGGGTGATGGGGGGAAGGTTTCTCGCTAAGACATCGTTGTCTTGTGCCTATGTATCCTCATCTGGTATGAGAAATCAGAGCAAACGTAGTTCAGGTTACTAGACCACTGATTGGTTAAGTGTTTTTTATGAGTGATGCTAAGTTCCCATTCCAGCAGTTAGGGACGATGCTTGTTTGCGGTAGAACGAAAAAGTAACATACTCTTTTATGAAAATGGAGGTTGAAGAGAAGTCCCGAAGGATAAAAGGTTTGAATTTTGTTTGTGAGTTTTAGTGAAGTGGATTGAGTTAGTTTGAGACTCACGTCGCACTAAAGACTATGACACGAGGCCGAATGCGTCGCATATCGGCCAAAGGGCATATGCTAAACACTCTAGAAAGGTGGGGAGAAACCCCCCACTCATCACTCTCCATGTACTTAAGACTCGTAGTGCACAATGCTTATCATTCTTTATTAAGTTTCGTGAAGAAATTTGAGATGAGAAAAGAGAGACGCACAGAAGGTCTAAGGGAAACTGAACCCTAACTGTTATCATACAAAATGGCCCTGAGATCAGGATTAGAAGGGAAACCTACCTAATGTTGTCATGCTTGGATTGAAAGTCTAATGTCTCTCCTACCTCTAACTTAATCAGAAATTAAGTCGATCTAAGAATCCTAGAGGATCATGTGAGCAAGCACAAGTAAAAACTAACCAATTCAATCATAAAAGAAACGATGTCGTGATCTCAGTCATGAAACAAAACTGAGTGACTCCTCGTCCACAACTAAAAGAATGATGTCGTGATCTCAGCCACAAGGCAAGACTGAGTGACTCCTCGTTCACCACAGAGTACAACAAAATGGTAACCAACAAAACTAAAGTATCAGTTGAATTTGCATACAAGTCAAACATATAACTAAGAGTGAAGACTCCTCAATCAGCAACAAGTTATAATCAAAAATGCCAAACTCTAAATCAACAAAATGGTAAGGAATGAGTCAAAGCTATACAAGTATAACCAAAACAAACAAATAGCATCAACAAGAGCCCTCCAGCACAGCGTAGTTGTAACTTCTAATAAGCAAAAAAGAGTAGCTCTTAATGGCTTCTATCTTCAGAAAAGAAGTGTATACGTCAGCATCATTTCCTACACTCAAATCAACTTGTACACAAAGATAAAATTAGTAACATCAACTAATGAGAACTCATATACAATCTCAAAGATCGACATGATTAAGCAACCAAAATATGCCAAGTGTCAAAATACAAATCTCACTAAAACAAATCAACCATCAACAAGAGAAATAAATAAAGTTAGTCACCAAGATTCTAACGAAAATAAATAAGAAAATCAAATAGTTATCCTACAAAAAACCGAAATTAAAACTTTATGAAAATCAATTGAAAAATTAACCTAACTTAATAAAGATTAACATATGTATTAATCAAATAATTAACAAAATTTATTAACAAAGATATTAGCAAGAAATTCTAATATAAAATTAATAAAATAAAAAGGAAACTAAGAGTGCTCATCGGAGCACTGTTTGCTCTTATTCACAAGCTATACCACATTCATTTACTTTATGAAATCCACTAATAACATTACCGTCGACAGAGCTAACAATAGCAGACAGAGTTTCTGCAGACTTTGAACATTAGTTTAGCAAATAATCCTCATCATTTAGTATGTGAGGTGATTCATCAGCAAATCTGCTTTTCCTTCAACACAGGAAAACGAGACGATTCTCTCAGCACAAGTATCAGACGAATCGATCCATCTTACGATCCATTCAGCTTTTTTCGCAATACAATTAATCGTCTCGATAGCGTGAAACAAACAATTCTTCTTAGCGGAATCTTTGATATATGCTTTGAGGAGGAGAGAATATAGCTCGGAATGGACATTCTCAATTGCGATCTGAAACCCGTAGAAAGCATACGCCTATGAGATTTGAACCTCTTTCATGAATCTTCCGACAATATTCTCCAAGATGATACCGTCGGAGGCGGAAAAGAAGGCAAGAACATGTGAAACAAAGTGGAGTTCACCGTTGGTGAGGGAGACTAGAGAGATCGACTTCTTCTGCGGTAAAAAAAAAAAAGAAGCTTCAACTTTATTTGTACATTTCCCAGATTTTAGAGTATTGAATTGGGAACATGCAGAACGGTATGGGTTAGGGGTGAGAAGTAGTTCTTCTGGAAAAGCAGGCATTGTTTGGTTTGTGTTTGAAAAAAAAAGTGATTATTTGAGAAGTGGGAAATGGTTGTTTTTTACGGTTAGGGTTTTGGTGTTTTGGAGAGAAAAAACATTCAAAGTTGTGTATGGTAATAGGAACGCAGGACCTCTTTGAGAGAGAGGATTTTCGGGAAAAAAAACACAGAATGAGGAAAAATTGAAGAAAAGTTGATGGGAAGTTGTTGTGTGTTTTTGAAGCGTTGAAGGTGTGATGGTGGATGAATATAAGTGATTAATTCTGAAACTGAGAAGTGGAGGTGGTGAACTCGGAAGTCGCAAAGTGATTTTCTGCAGATTGTGAATTTGAGGAGGGAGCTTCAGCGCTGAAGATGATGAGTGGATTGTGGTTCATGATTTTCCCGGATGTTTTTTTTCCGAGAATGATGTTCTTCCAATCTTTATACTAGAATCGAAAGAGTATAATAGTATTTGATTTGGAATTTTGTTAGGATATTCCAATTTGTTTTCTGTTATCAAAGCAGAGTTCTCAGAGGTGGAGTTGTTCCTTTTTTATTTCTCAGTTTTTTTCCAAAGAATCTCTTCTTCTCTCCATCTTTTCTCTCTATAAGCTTCTCTTTTTTTGTATTGTGGTTGTTTGGCTTTGTTTTTGCTTCATGATTTTTGTGCAAGTTGGTTTACGGATGCAGAGTGGTAGCAGTATGTGGTTTGTTTTGGAGCAGAGTATTGTCTGGCGTGCTTCATGGCTCCGTTCGTTTTGTACTTTTCGCTTGTGGTTGGAGGGTAGTTTTGGAGTGCTGTGAAAAACAAAAAAAAACGTACAAGATGGTTTATTGGTGATAATTGATGTTCTGTGTAGATCACGTACCATGGCAAATGTTGTAAAACAGGTCGCTAGTGAGTTTCTTTTCTTCATTTTGGTGTAAATGGACTTACCTTGTAATGACTTGTAATGGGCTTTTGGCAATTAGAATTGAACTTTATTTAGGTAATGGTTTTGAAGGTGGATAATAAAAATGAAAATTGGAAAGAATTGAATATTAATGGGCTTGAAAATGGGTTATTGATTATTAATTTGTAAATGGAAAATTAAATACTAATTTTGAAATTTTATGAATGGTTAAATAAATAGAATAAAAGAATGAAGATGAATGGATCCAAAGATGGATTAGCAGAAGTAGATTTAGAAGAATTGGTCAAATGGATAAAATTGGAAGTGAATAACAAATTTAGAATAAAAATGGATAAATGAATTAAAACACAGGTAGAAATAGTTTTGGACATCTACAAATGGATCTTTGAACTTGACCCTGAATTTGATGAACCTGAATGACTCTCCACCAATACTTTCCACCAAACACACCTTGAGTGTCTTTAATTCAAAAACACACTTGAAACTCTTCCAACAGTCTCTGCTAAAATAGGCGCAACTACCACTGAACAATCATCTGAATGAGACAAACTCTAAATCTCCGATCAAGAGAATCTTGAATCACCATGAATCTGCGTGAGTAATTCCTGGGGAAAATAAATCCATAGAGGAGCATAATTTAAACTAATGATCATGATGATCCTGCTCTTCTGGACCAAACCTCACATGAACCATCGCTTGATAACCTGATGAATCTCACACACAACAATTTGACCTTGGATGCACACTGGCTGAGAAATAAATTACCGACACAAATAACTTGCACTTGAAGCAAACTTTCGACGGTTTGACCAAGATGTGGTCAAACTCCTACCTGACCTTGATCATGACTGAACAACCACACTTTCCTTGAAACCATGACATCGTCCCTAATAAATCTGATCTCTTATCCATGATGAGAAATAAACTTGAACGCTGAGCTAGCTAGATATAAGCTTGCCGGCAAACTTGCTCCTGAGGGTTGATGAAACCTTAGGCCCTTGATGCCTGACAATTCTTTGAAGAAAGTAAACCTGACACTTGATGCTTTGATTCAAAATAACTTCTGATCCCATGTCTTAGAAGGTCAATGCGAAGTATGATAATGATGATGCAAGTGAGCGCGAAGCAAAAGCTGGCCAAAGTTAGAAAAAGTTAGGGAAAATTTTGGGGTGCTACATTGGTAAAACATGATATTGAACATAACGTTCTAACATGAAGAAATCTGTAAAGAGAAACATGTCAAACAAGATCTCCTGTCTTCAGGTCTCGACATCTTGGTCTGATACAACAGGTTTGTTGCAGATTTATTCCAAGATTTAAGGTGCAATCAGAACATAGATCAAGGAATGATTGGACAGAGATTTCGAAGCCCATGGACTGCTGAAGATTATAAAAGGAAAACTGATACCTAGAGAAAATAACAATTCCTTGTTAAGACTTTTGTAAAGTAAAAATAAGGTTTTAGGGTTTTGAGAGTCGTGGGGCTTTCTTGTATTGTAAGTCACCCTTTGTATCAAATTTGATACATTTTGGTCGACATAAGTTTCATATTCAGAAACCTATAGGTAATGAATTATATATTGTTCTTGGATGAAGCTTTTAAGCAAATTCAAGTATTAGTGTTAGTCATAAGTATTGATTGAATATTGTATTGAAATGGTTGTCTTTCAATTGAATAGTTTGATACAGTCACCAAAGGTTGTGACTGTTATATATCACTGGTGCAATTTAGAAATTGAGATGGGTTTCTTTTATCTAGATGGGGTTCTAGGTAGAAGTTGCACTGAGTATGGATTAAGTGAGGAGTTGTAAACTGGAGGTTGTTTAGCTCTGAATTAATACTACTGATAGTGAATTCATTTCTGACTTGCTATCCTCCAAATGTAGGTGTTGTTGTACACCGAATTGGGGCATCATATCTTGGTGTTTTTTTATCATTCTGTTGTATATTTCAGTTATTTTTATACTCTCAAATATATGTTCAAATAGATGTTGAAACATCTGTCCTAGTACTGTTATGACTTTGAGATATCTGAATGTTAGAGATCAATGTCTCGACATCTCTTGGGATATCTGAGATCTGTATACCAGAATTTCAGGGTGTAATTAGAAGGGGAAATATTTAGGTTTTTAAGCAGGTCGCATTCAAAATCACTAAAAAGGATACATACTTTGAAATCCTTGATTACCCCTGTATAAAAATAAATGTATCCATTGGACACTCCTCTTGGCCAAGTAATACAGGTTCTTTCATCAATCACGTAGGGTTCTAACACAATGTCCTCCTCATTCTTGATTGAGGAAACTTGAATATCAGACCGAAGCTTCGAGATGTAGTTGTCATCGATGATGTTGTGGTCATAACTTAGAACCTCCTTGTCAATCAAAGATCTTATATTCTCCATGAAAATGTCCACAAAATCTAATGATGAAGACTCTGAGTCAGTTTTACTATCAAGTGAGGGGGCCTCACTATAAACTTCCATAATAATCTGGTCAAACTCCTCTCGACTCAGATGACCCTCACATTCTATCACGCATTCACTATAGATTTTACTTCTCTCATTAGCAATAAGAGAAATCAAAAACTCTCTCAAATAATCAAAATCTCTTATTATAACCATAATAAAGAATAAGAAAAGAGATAAAGGAAAAGTAAAAAATACCTGAGACTTGAGCTTGTAAAAAAACAATTGAATGAGGAAACAAAAGAAACTCGTTACCAACACTTGGAAGAGGAATCACTTGCTTTGATAAAAAGCAGATGAAGAAAATAGTCTTTTTATTGAAATACATACACCCTAGTAAGCATGATTTGGGTGGCAACCACGCATGTAGCCAGAAATAATGATGACAAGTGAAAATCCCTATAAAAAATGACATTGTGGCAAGGAGCGAGAAAGTCAGTGGCAATGGTAATCGTCAAGGAAGTGACCGACAGGAATTCCAAGACTTCTTTGGTCGAACACTTCAATCAAATCAGATCTCGTGATTTGGGGGCTTATGTACATCCTAGAATTTTCTAGGTCCGAGCTTTTGCAAGGCGAGTACAAGTACAAACAAGTTGGATAAACATGATCCTAAGCAAGTTGGAGTCGGTTAGGGTAAAGTAGTACTATCAAACCATAGCAGGTCGGATATGGTCTTAGAGTAACTACAACAGAGGAATAAGTCTATCCAATCTCTTGAAAGGTACTAGAGAGACACATGAATGGTCACATAAAACGGTTACAAAATGTCTTCATGATTACATGAGTTACAAAAATTAATAGGAGAAAGGCTAGTTGATAGTTATGAAGGATGGCAGACGTTACTGAATGTGACTTTAACATAGGATATGAAGAGGCATCCTTAAAGAAATCATTGATGATGGACTGAGTATAAAAGAAGACTTCTCAAACGATGAAGAAGACGGCGACTAATACCTCATAACTAATAGGATGATTGTGGTCTCACCTAACTAATTTTAGGGAGATTTCTCTAAATATTATTTAGCAAGAACAACGCACACGCACACGCGCGCACGCACACAGAGAGAGAGAGAACTAAATTCAGCATTTAGAATCTTTTGCAATCAAATAGATGAGCAAACTCTCTATTATATTTCACAAATACAACATGTCTATAAATAGTAACAATGTAGATTTGGAAGAAGCTTCCATCATTGTGCTGCTATATAATTACTCACACGACTATAAAAAGCCCAATCTAGCAAGTGCATAGTAATTTTGTTTCAATCCCTAATAGCAAGTGCATGGTAATTTTGTTTCCATCCGACCACCCCTACGTTTCGCGTCTTCCTATTTTCAGTTGTGACAATAAAAACAAACTTTAGAAATGGAAACAAAAGAAATCGATGGCTACCGTTCTTTTTGAGTCTGTGGCAACAATTGGATTTAACCCGTGCACCGACAGTTACTTTATACATGTTATTAAATGGAAGAATATCATATTCCTTCTGAAATACAGACACCCTAGTAAGCATGATTTGGGTGGCCACCACGCATGAAAATTGTAAAAGGTAAAGGCAAATTGTCACTCCTTCCACTTCACTCTTCAGAATCCAATTTGAAGTGAGGGTGATAGATCACAAATTCTATTGAAA